AGAGAGAAATCACATATTTCCCAAAAACCTCAACGTGATAGGTGTACGAGTCATTTTACTTACAAAGTCCACAAACTCTGCTTTTCTAAGCAATGCGGAACTTAAACCTCACTTTTTTCTCAACAATCTTTCCCTCAAGTGAGTTCGTCGACTATGATCCCTTTTAAGCAGAAGCTTTTTCATCTACATGCTTGTATCGCAGTTGACAGACGCTCTTACTTGTCATGGGCACTACAACGAAGCATAATGTTTGCCAACATATTAGGATGACATTCAATGCATAAAATTAATATCTTACTCAAACTAAACTCTCATACCACTGATAGGACATCACGAAGGAGAAACATTCACATTTGATCAAACATTCACCTAAAGATTAAAAACTCACCCAAATAAATAAGAGATACATCACATATTCATCCAAAATTTTAAGGAGATGTATAGATCTTCTTACTTATAAAATATTCAGCCTCAACCTTTCTTAACAATGTAGAACTTAGAACTTAAACTTTCTAAACAATGCAGAGCTTAAAACTTAAACTTATTTCTCAACACCACTCAGATGTATTTCTCAACATGATAAATATCATCGCAGTGGTGATGACCAATGTTGACTAGCAATGATTGGTGTCTTAGCTTTAAAAAAATACATAAATTTTGGACTTTTAATGAAATCTGTTTTGAAATTACATGAAAATCAAATCAACTATATAATTTTGCTAACCACTCCAACTCATTTAAATAAAAACTAAAATTTTGATTGCATGAAAACAATTCCACAAAAGAACAGAATAAAAGCAATTTTACAAATTTATAAATTAAAATAAAACATTTTCCATGAGATCATGACGAAAAAGAAAAAGAAAAAAGAAAACTAACAAGTGTTGCTATAAATAAAAATAAATAAAAGGGAAATCATTTATTGCTCTATGGTAACATATCAAACTGAGGTCATGTAAATTGTGAAAAATCCTGCCGAAAGGACATACAAAATTTTGAATTTTTTCATGAATTTTTGATGACTTTGATGATACACATGTATCACGCCACATGTAACACGTGATAACATAAACGCCGTTTGTAACAATTAGACGAAAAAGACTTAAATAATACTATTTAAACAATGACTTAAATAACACTATTTAAACAATTAAATGATCAACTTAAAACTTTTTTAATTAAGCGACCAAAATGGACCCCGAGGTAAAGTTAAAGAATCAGAAAAAGTATTTTGTCTAAAAAAAAATAGAGGGAGTACGTTTTAAAAAGTCGAAGAAACAATATAATATTCTTTTAAGTTAAGACGTCAAAATATACCTCGAGTCAAATGAAGGTACCAAAAGAGTATTATGACCAAAAAATTATTAGTGATTTAAAATGGTTGTTGTCGACAAATGAATGTAATTTAAAATGGAGGTTGTCATGTAAGACTGATCATTTATGTGATGGGTCATCATGAGTGGTAAGCATTCAATTTAGGTCAAACTCACCTAAAGGTCAAACACATCACTCAAACAAGTGAGAAGGATACCACGTATTCACTCAAAACCTCAAGGTGATAAGTGTATGAGTCATCTTACACTTTTGTAAGCAATGTCGGACTTAAAACTCACACTTGTTTCTCAACACAACTCACATTTGTTTCTCAACAATCTCCCTCTCATGTGTGAGTTTATGCATTATATTCTCCCCCTAGTGGAAGTTCTTTCATCCACATGCTTATATCGTCGTTGACACACCCTTACTCGTCATGGGAACTAAGAATTGGTCCATTACTCAAATTAGGCTCTCATACCACTAATAGGTCACCATGAGGGAGAAACATTCACATTGGTTCAAACATTCACCTAAAAGTCAAAGACTCACTCCAAACAAATGAGAGAGAAATCACATATTTCCCAAAAACCTCAACGTGATAGGTGTACGTGTCATTTTACTTACAAAGTCCATAAACTCTGCTTTTCTAAGCAATGCGGAACTTAAACCTCACTTTTTTTCTCAACAATCTTCCCCTCAAGTGAGTTCGTCGACTATGGTCCCTCTTAAGCATAAGCTTTTTCATCTACATGCTTGTATCGCAGTTGACAGACGCTCTTACTTGTCATGGGCACTACAACGAAGCACAATGTCTGACCAACATATTAGGATGACATTCAACGCATAAAATTAATATCTTACTCAAACTAAACTCTCATACCACTGATATGTCATCACGAAGGAGAAACATTCACATTTGATTAAACATTCACCTAAAGATTAAAAACTCATCCAAATAAATGAGAGATACATCACATATTCATACAAAATTTTAAGGAGATGTATAGATCTTCTTACTTATAAAATATCCAGCCTCAACCTTTCTTAACAATGTAGAACTTAGAACTTAAACTTTCTAAAGAATGTAGAGCTTAAAACTTAAACTTATTTCTCAACACCACTCAGATGTATTTCTCAACATGATAAACATCATCGCAGTGGTGATGACCAATGTTGACTAGCAATGATTGGTGTCTTAGCTTTAAAAAAATACATAAATTTTGGACTTTTAATGAAATCTGTTTTGAAATTACATGAAAATCAAATCAACTATATAATTTTGCTAACCACTCCAACTCATTTAAATAACAACTAAAATTTTGATTGCATGAAAACAATTCCACAAAAGAACAGAATGAAAGCAATTTTACAAATTTATGAATTAAAATAAAACATTTTCCATGAGACCATGACGAAAAAGAAAAAGAAAAAAGAAAACCAACAAGTGCTGCTATAAATAAAAATAAATAAAGGAAAATCATTTATTGCTCTATGGTAACATATCAAACTGAGGTCATGTAAATTGTGAAAAATCCTGCCGAAGGGATGTACAAAATTTTGAATTTTTTCATGAATTCTTGATGACTTTAACGATACACATGTATCACGCCACATGTCACGCGTGATAACATAAATGTCGTTTGTAACAATTAGACGAAAAAGACTTAAATAATACTATTTAAACAATGACTTAAATAACAATATTTAAACAATTAAATGATCAACTTAAAACTTTTGTAATTAAGCGACCAAAATGGACCCCGAGGTAAAGTTAAAGAATCAGAAAAAGTATTTTGTCTAATAAAAAATAGAGGGAGTACGTTTTAAAAAGTCGATGAAACAATATAATATTCTTTTAAGTTAAGACGTCAAAATATACCTCGAGTCAAATGAAGGTACCAAAAGAGTATTATGACCAAAAAATTATTAGTGATTTAAAATGGTTGTTGTCGACAAATGAATGTAATTTAAAATGGAGGTTGTCATGTAAGACTGATCATTTATGTGATGGGTCATCATGAGTGGTAAGCATTCAATTTAGGTCAAACTCACCTAAAGGTCAAACACATCACTCAAACAAGTGAGAAAGATACCACGTATTCACTCAAAACCTCAAGGTGATAAGTGTATGAGTCATCTTACACTTTTGTAAGCAATGTCGGACTTAAAACTCACACTTGTTTCTCAACACAACTCACATTTGTTTCTCAACAATCTCCCTCTCATGTGTGAGTTTATGCATTATATTCTCCCCCTAGTGGAAATTCTTTCATCCACATGCTTATATCGTTGTTGACACACCCTTACTCGTCATGGGAACTAAGAATTGGTCCATTACTCAAATTAGGCTCTCATACCACTAATAGGTCATCATGAGGGAGAAACATTCACATTGGTTCAAACATTCACCTAAAAGTCAAATACTCACTCCAAACAAATGAGAGAGAAATCACATATTTACCAAAAACCTCAACGTGATAGGTGTACGAGTCATTTTACTTACAAAGTCCACAAACTCTGCTTTTCTAAGCAATGCGGAACTTAAACCTCACATTTTTCTCAACAATCTTCCCCTCAAGTGAGTTCGTCGACTATGCTCCCTCTTAAGTAGAAGCTTTTTCATCTACATGCTTGTATCGCAGTTGACAGACGCTCTTACCTGTCATGGGCACTACAACGAAGCACAATGTCTGACCAACATATTAGAATGACATTCAACGCATAAAATTAATATCTTACTCAAACTAAACTCTCATACCACTGATAGGTCATCACGAAGGAGAAACATTCACATTTGATCAAACATTCACCTAAAGATTAAAAACTCACCCAAATAAATGAGAGAGACATCACATATTCATCCAAAATTTTAAGGAGATGTATAGATCTTCTTACTTATAAAATATTCAGCCTCAACCTTTCCTTTCTTAACAATGTAGAACTTAGAACTTAAACTTTCTAAACAATGTAGAGCTTAAAACTTAAACTTATTTCTCAACACCACTCAGATGTATTTCTCAACATGATAAACATCATGGCAGTGGTGATGACCAATGTTGACTAGCAATGATTGGTGTCTTAGCTTTAAAAAAATACATAAATTTTGGACTTTTAATGAAATCTGTTTTGAAATTACATGAAAATCAAATCAACTATATAATTTTGCTAACCACTCCTACTCATTTAAATAACAACTAAAATTTTGATTGCATGAAAACAATTCCACAAAAGAACAGAATAAAAGCAATTTTACAAATTTATAAATTAAAATAAAACATTTTCCATGAGACCATGACGAAAAAGAAAAAGAAAAAAGATAACCAACAAGTGCTGCTATAAATAAAAATAAATAAAGGGAAATCATTTATTGCTCTATGGTAACATATCAAACTGAGGTCATGTAAATTGTGAAAAAATCCTGCCGAAGGGACATCCCCAAATAATAAAACCAAAAACAAAATACTTTTTTTTCTAAGTGCAACTTGCACCTTTGTGGATGTTTCTCAGAAGTGAACAAAATGAATGGGAGAGGCTCTGAATCAAAAGAGTTTTAGGACATCTGCAAGATTCCACTCTAGCTATGTATTCCACATATGATGCAAACAAACATGGCTTCACCAAGACCTCTTCAGGGTTTTATAAATCAAACCACCATATCGCCGATTGAAGACTACTGGTCGTCGTCAACTCAGTTGTGGTGGCACTGTCTTCAAACTTCGCATCCATTCACAAAAACTCGGATCGTCAAAGTGAACAAAATTGCTTTTCAGCCTTGTTCGCTGTTCTGATGTTAATGTCCTAAGTTGTGGGAACCTTGCCTCCTGCAAAAAATAAATTGCATCATTCAGTAAATAGGCGATTTATTCAGTAAAACACATCTGGAGTTTCTCACATCGAAGGTAATAGAGTTGTTCACCTGCTCGTAAGGTGGATCCTTGTGAGCTGGTATGAGACGAGAGACAAAATATCGAGCCTGCGAGCTACCCTCCTGTTTTCAAATGTAAACTCTTAGTTATATAGTTTTCTTTACAAGCAGAAGACAGCACGGAGAATGAAGAGTAAAGAAGAAAATTAACCTTGAATGCAAGGATGCGAGGAGCTGGAAAACGGAACTCGGTCAGCTCTTCAGCCAATGTCCTGCATGCAGCCAAAGCAGCGGCACTTTTTCCTTCATCGGCCACAAGTTCCGCACCCTAGAAGATCCGTCCATAAAATATTAGGAAAATACGTGTATAATATGCGAACGAGAAACTTACAGACCCAGTCCTCTCTTCTCTATCCACATTGGAAAAAACTAACAATCCCACTATCACAGGAAATAAAACAAATAACTAAAATCTTGATACAATGTCCCTAGGGCTAAAAAAGCCGTTCCACCAGAACCACGGTTATTTATGACAATCAGCACATTTTAATATAAGATAAATAACAAATAACAACAATACTCAAGTAACAAATGTATATGATAAAATACACTCATATTTAAAACATAACAAAAGTCTCGTTGGTTCCAACAATCACCCAAAAACCAAATGCTTCAAATGTACAAACGCAACATCAAAAACTTAAGCATAAAAGTTTATTGAGATTTAACTACTAAGAAGTTCGACAGTTTTGCACCTTCTCAGTCAAGAGACTAAGAATGGAGTTTATGTAGGTTGCAACACCATTGGTTAACCATCTGTAACTGGCCAAAATTGCTGCTGGAATGGCAACCGCTGGCATGGTGACTAAAAAAAGGGCGGTCTTCCCATTCAAAAGAACAAGAGAAGAAAGGAAGATGAAGATGAGAAACAAGGAAGACATCACCCATGTGCCACTGTCTGACTCTAACCTATTGCACCACTCAATACTGCACATTATTAACAACTGTGACCATACCAACTATGGTTTCTACATTCTATAATGCAATGACATTTCAAGTCCATTACCATTAGAGGTTAAACAACAGAAAGCAAATTTAAAAACAATTTAACAATTTGCTGGCAGGATAGCAAATGCAGTATATTGACTTAGATTATTACCCAACAATAACCTCTAAACCATGAAATAACAATGACTGCAAGAATTTATCCACATGGTCAACTAAGAAAATTTAATGCTGGAAAAGATAAGAGGAGGCACATACCAGCCAAATGAAGACATCAGTGCCATGATCAAGTACAACAGCAGTATCAGACTGCATAGCAAGATCATAAGCCGGTAGCTCCTCAAAAGTTCCCCCCTCCCTGTGCATTAGACAACGGGGAGCCACCATTCTGAGAGATAGATCAAAGGATGCATTTAGAAACAGGTTCCTCAGCACAGACCTCTCATCTTCATGGCCAATAATACATCCCAATAGTGGCCCTCTCCTGAGATGGAAAAGGAGCTCCGGTAAGAGAGACAGCTCTTTTGGGAAGCAATGAAGTTTTGATTTGGGTAATTGGGTGCCAAATTTTAGACCAATATCCTTGATTCTTTCATCTATTGTTTTTCGCATCTCAACAGCAACAGATTGGTTTTTCGCTCGCAACAGAGTTCTCTTTGCAATGAGGACTGCAGCAACTTCATCCTGAACACTCTCGAGATATCCCGAAACACTGTCTACTGTGGGCAATCTAACTGTAACAACCCTTGAAACATCAGCCTGATACACATTTGAATACTGAATTGCAAACTGGAAAAAGATAAAATCGCTTTTGATATCTCCTTTGGTTTCCATAGAGAGAGAAAAGCTCTGTGTCTCTTCAACACTTAGCATTTGAATATAAAGCGCAGTGTCATTTTTAAATGTTTCATGTGTGTCTACGTGTGACTCTTCCCCTGGACCCACAACTTGTGTAATGAGAATATCATCTGATGTCCGCAATTCTAACAATCCATGGGAGCCTGCTGATCTGGAAGATGCCCTTTGTAAATTAACACCAAAAGCTTCTCCAAAATCATCATGAAGAACCAAAACTCCGCCTGATGCTTTTGCAAGAGGATGTAAGATAGGAACTCTTACAGGGCATGTTCCAGCACATAAAATATCAACCAATATATGGTGTCGATGAGCCTCGCGACCTAAATTTTCCATCCATTTTAATGCAGTCTTTTCCATATACGGATAATTAGGGTGGTTGAAAGAATGAGGAACAGATCCAGGCCCATAAGTGTTCGGTCCACCAGCACACACAATAATTCTACTATTGCCCCCTGACCTTTTGACTACCCCTCGGGACAGATCAGCAGATGGGCCCTGAATTATAGCAAGAGCAACCTCAACCGCAGTTCCTAGGCACCGATCTCTGGAAGCTTCTGGTACATTCAACTTATATGGCCTCAATGATGAAAACACGGAATGTGCTACAGCCAGTGAAGCATGCATGGGTGATAAATATATACCGGTACCATAAATCAAAGTTTTCAAAGATTCCTGACTTGCTGACTTGTCCCCGGGAAGCACGTCAGCAGATGCAACTGACTCTTCTGAAAAGTCATACACTGATACCGTACGGCCATATAGTATAATTCCTAATCTTGTTGTTGGAGGGAGAGAATCAACAAACGCATGCAAAGAGCTCTGAAGATGGTGTAAGTGAGGTTCATCTAAACATTCATCTATTACAAGAACTACTGGTGCAGACATTCTGGAATCTGAAACTGGAACAAAACCAGGTCTCTTGGTCCCCGTTTGTACAAAGTCAACCATTGGTGAAGCTAGTTCTGGAAATCTGTGAAGATCTTCCTTGTTATGTGCAATGTACTCTCCATCACTCCCATTCAGTTTTCGACATATAACACACTGCCACTGGCCTGATCCGAGCAATATGTTGCAATATTTATTTGCATATGCCCCACAGCTCTGACAGCGATGGGGATCACGCTGTATTACCTGGGGGCCTGTCGACACCTCCCTCCCAGGAGAGACCAATGCCCCAAAACCCAAACTGGGTACATTAGCCTGTTTCTTCTGCTTCAATACCTAATCAAATAGTAATTCAATGTAAGACTCCATGTCATGATTATGAATTATGTTCATGTTCGGATAAACAGCTTAATTAAGCAGTTAGCGCATAAGCTCCTATTCTATTAAGTGCAATGTGTAAGTTATTTCAATAACAGAATAAATAAGCAGGCTATAGAGCTTACGAAAATAAGCTGAAAAATAATCTCGCAATTACGTCTAAGTTCAAAAAAGCCAATACAAACATGCTTTAAAGTAAATCAGAACTCACCTTATGAGCTGAAAAAAGTACAAAGGATGGCTCCCCAAGTGAAACATGATCTCCAATGCTATCAGAAACTTGGGGCTGCAAGTCAAACGATCCATTCGAGTATTGAGGCTGCGACGACATTGGCAAAGAAGAACCAGAAGAAAGAGCATGCGGCTGAGGCGAAGCAGGCAACGTTCGAAACGGAACAGCCGCCGGCCTAACCGGTGACGTAAAAACAGGTGGCCCAGGAGGAGTACTCATGTGAGGAACTGGACTTCCAGTTGCAACAGCACCATTGGCAGGTGATGCAGCATTGGAATGAGGAGTACCTTGATCTTTCTTTAAATGTAACAACGCTGGAGGAAATTTAGGAGGAGGGGTAATTGAAGTCTTGTCAGGGTTTGAAGGGATGAACCCAACATTAGGTTGTGTTGGGTTATCAGCCATTGAAATTACAACAAAAGAAAAGTAGAAAAACCCAAATCCAGAATCAACAACTATCCGGTTACAAAATTTACAGCATAAAAAAATCAAGAAAATATATTTATTTATCAAAATTTGTAGAAACCCGTTGAAACCCCTCTGAATTGGAATTCCATCTGCATAAAAGACAAATAGATTTAAAAAAGAATTGAAATTGAATAAAAGAATTAGGGTTTTGGATATGGAGATCAAGAATTGGGAAATAAAAGATTTGGGAATAACGTACCTGAGAGAAAGATGAGAAATTGTTGAATGGGAATTGGGATCGGGGAAGATGAATGATTTTCCCCTCACTCTTTCACTCACTCCAATTCAGAGGATTTGATTAGGTTTTTTACGCGAAGAAAAAAAAAACATGAACTGGTTCAACTCAATTCAACCTCGTTTTTTTTCGCGTTCGTGTTTGGGGTTTTTTATTTCCTAGCTGGCGCCACCGGGGACAGGGTTTTTTTCTCTCACGGAGTACCAATGCCACATCACTGCCTCGCTGCAAAGGAGGTCCAATGAGAAACACGGAAACACGTGTGTTAAGCCAACTAACAACGAATTTTAATTTTTTTAAATATTTAAAAATAAAATATTTTCTGTTATTAAAATTAAAACTAGATAATTAATATCACAAGCGCATCTGGTGTAGTGGTATCATAGTACCCTCCCACGGTACTGACCAGGGTTCGATTCCCTGGATGCGCATTGTTCAATTTTGTTGAATTTGCCTATTTCACGTGTCTCAGTGTTATAGAATTTTTATTTTGTTTGAATTAAACACTATATTATCCCTTATTTAAAACTATATTATCACCTATTACATGTGCCTCAATGTTCTGGAATTTTTATTTTGTTTGAATTATTGATTATGATGTTTTCAATAAAATTTAGGACTTACGTGATGTGTAATTTATTGATAAGTAATAAAGGTTAAGGTTTTACATATTGCTATATTTATCTAATTTATAGGTAGTTAATAAATAAGGATTTAGGTGATTTTATTTGTTTTGAAATTAAAAAAAAATAAATCAGAAATCAAATATTTTGATTTGAAAATTTTTTAAATATCTTTATCATGTCTGAAACTTTGAGTCATTTTGATTTTGTAATTAAGCTTGTTTTGAGATAAAAGGCATATAAATATTTGCTTATAAAATTAATAACATTGATGTATTAATGGTGAAAAATCCAATCAAATTGTACCATATAAATATTTGTAATAATATGTATCTTATAAGAATGTCATTTGTAAATGGTGCATAAGGGGCGACGTGAGAGGGAAACGATATAATGCACTCCCTCTAACAGTTTTTTAATCGCCCATTTATTAAATTTAACACTCATCATTTGGTTGTGAAGTCCATTTCTCAAATCGGTCGATCGCCTTTTAGTGAAAACATAGAAGTGATGTGTCCTAGTTCACAATAGTGCGAAGATGGGGTCCAAGGAGAATTTATCATGTTGTACTGAATAATATATGATTAAATGTTTTTTCACTCTTTCCCGCTAGTAGAAGTTGTTAGTAGTTTTTGGGAGTCTAAAGTCCAAGCTTAAGAACCTCTATAAATACCTCAGCCCCAAGGTTGAGAAGACACTATCTCATTACACATATATCACATACAAAGCTTCTCCGTGAGTGAGATAGCTTCTCCGTGAGCAACATGGATGACTTACGCCGCAAGAATCAAACTTTTGAAGATAATGTTCTCCATATCCAACAACGCCAATAAGAGGTTGTTCTTACAAAAGAGGTTGAAATACTAGACCCTCAGCCTCTCTTAGATGAAATATAGGAGCATATCGCCTTTATCAACATGCAAATGGAAATTTTTGGAGCTTTGTATTTCTTAAAATGCAAGCTCTTCTCTAGCAACTTCACAAATGGATCCTTAAGGTGGTATATGACTATGTCTCAACTCTTTGTCGCCAGTTATCCAAACATAATGAAGAAACTAGTTCACCGATTTGTAGTATGCTGATAACACTGAATCATACTATGTATTTGACTCGGATTGCACGTGTTTTTTAGATTTTATTGCTATTTTCTTGTGTTATGCTTTTGTTTTGTTTTGTTTTCAAGATTTTGTATTTCCAGAACTCTTCACGAGGAAATGAAGAAAAACGGGCAAGAAAAACCAGTTTTTGAGGAAATTGTACACATGGCATCCACCATGGCAGGCGCCATAAGGTATGCCATGACTTGGATAAGAGTCAACTGCTGTCAACTACCATGATCTCCACTTATGTCTCCATTAATTCACATAGAGGGCACCATGGGGGTGTGGCAGGCACCACCTTTGTAGTTTGTTTTCTCTCCCAAAAGAAGTTGGGGGGCACTTTGGTCTTTCCATAGATTTTCCCTGGGCTATAAATAGATGAGTTCTTGAACCTTTCTAGGCATCCAAGCTTAGTTACAAAACTCAAGACATATATTTTCAGTATTGTAAAGTGATAAACTTCTCACACCGGGGAGTTATCATATTGTTCGATCGAGTTTGTAATCGAGTTTGAAGCATTCTGGTAGAAGTTAATCCTGCCGTTATTTTCTTTCCAGTCATTTATTTCCAATTGTATCAGATTTAAAACCTCCCGTTTGGAGCAGGTTTCCATTTACTTTCTCGCAGTATTTACTTTTCCGCACCATTTACTTTCTCCCAATATTTACTTTTCTGTACCATTTACTTTCTCGCAATATTTACTTTTTTGCACCATTTACTTTCTCGCATTATTTAACATGTTTATTTACATTTCCATGTCCGGCTAAATTTTAAAGGTTAGAATGTAAGGATCATAGTTAAAGTAGTATTCCATACAAGCTGTCAATAGAAATACTTAGGGGTTATTCTGATTTTTAACACAAGTTTTCTACATTTCATTTCTGTTGGGTAAGATCGAAAGCCATCCAACATTTGGTTAAACTTGGTTAGTCTTAACTGTTCGAAGGAAGCGAAAGCGCTTTGTCCAGTTAAGTAGGAGTTTTTAATACTTTAGAAAAAGATTTTAAAACTATTTTTGAACGCATTTATGGGTTTAAAGTCCGGTTCGCATGAACCTCTTTTTATTAAAAGTTCCAAGTCAAAATACTTTTCAACTGAGTCAAGAAACTAGATTTCTTAAAAATAGGTTTATTACTTTAACGCAATGCGTGCCTTTTTATAATTGACAATAAGAGGGTTCGATTAAGGGATAAACTCAGTTCAGAATACGCGAAAGCAACAGTTTCCGCTAAATTAGTTCTTTTTATAAGTAGAAAACATTACCCTGTTAGAAGTTCTATTTACAAGCATTTGGAATACTACCCGGCTGTGTGAATTACACTCAAGCCTGTTGTTTTAAATTGAATTTTATATCTTCGTACTTTACTTTTACCGTGCACTCACGAACTCCCGATTGATTTGCCTTAGATAAACATCGTAACAATAGAAATTGATAGATTGATGTTTGGTCTCTGTGGGATCGATAATCTTTTATATTACTCTAACGTGATTCGTATACTTGCGAAAAAACCGCATCAAGTTTTTGGCACCGTTGCCGGGGACCAATTACGTCAAAATTTCGTACCCTGTTGTTACACCGTCTAGACTAAGGTTTTACCTATTGGTCAATGCGAAGAACTCGCATCACTGGTAGTCTTATAGATCCTTTAGAAGAACCTGAACGTTACGCTCACGCACGTCTCTTACTTTATAAAATTAAGGAAACTATGGCCGAAGACCGTAACCAATGACCCCTTAAGGATTTCGCTCAGCCATCCGATGACGAACCCAGCTATAGTATTGTAAACCCTAATACTCCTGCATACGATTTCGAACTGAAACCCTCCCTATTACAATTAGTACAGCAAAACCAATTTGCGGGCCTCCCTTCTGAGAACCCGAATCAACATTTAAAAATCTTCATCCAATTAGCTAACACTTTTAAAACTAATGGTGTTACTCCTGAGGCGATTCGTTTAAGACTATTTCCTTTATCCCTCAAAGACAAAGCCCTTACATGGTTAGATTCCCTTCCAGCCAATTCTATAACAACTTGGGAAGACCTTAGGAGAGTTTTCCTTGCTAGATATTTTTTCCCCAAGTAAAACAACTGTTCTTCGAAACCAGATAACCAGATTCACTTAAAACCAAGGTGAATCACTATTTGAGGCTTGGGAGAGATATAAAGACCTATTGAGAATATGTTTATACCATGGCCTGGAATCACGGCTAATCATTAATACCTTCTATAATGGACTTCATTATAACACTAAGATGACCATCGATGTTGCCGCTGGTGCCACTCTAATGAATAAACCTTACCTTGAAGCTTGCGCTCTCATCGAGGATATAGCTCAAAACCATTGTCAATGGGGGACAGAACAAGCAACGATAGAGAAGAAAAAGCCCAAAGAGGAATACATGAGATAAGTTCTATAGACATGATGCAAGCCAAAATGGACGCTTTGGCCCTTAAGGTCGAACATATGCACGCAAACCCAGTTACTGCAGCAGCAGTCTCGATGGAATGCGAATTATGTGGAACCAAAGGACACCAATTAGCGGAATGCAATCTGTTGAATGAAACTCATTCAGACCAGGTCAACTATGCCCAAGGGAACCCATTTACAAACATCTATAGCCCTGGATGGAGGAATCATCCAAACTTTTCCTACAAAAACAATAACCTTATTCAAAACCCTGCGCCTTCGAGACTACCCGACTTTCAAGCCTAGATACAAAACCCACCTATACAAGTTGTGCCACCCAAGCCAAACCTTGAGAAGATCATGGAAAATTTCATTTCGGCTCAAACCCAGCAAAACAAAGAACTCCTAAACTAGAACATTTATATAAACAAAATGATTACCCAATTAGGAACCAAGGTTGACCAAATAGTCACTCACAATAAGATGCTTGAAACCCAGATCTCTCAGGTAGCTCTCAAACAAGCTCCCGAAACCACACTCGAAGGACAATTTCCTGGACAACTTCCATAAA